TTAATATAATCCATAAGTTTCTAGTAGTCAGTTAGTACCTGCATCAGTCATGACCATAACAGAATGCAGTAATGATCCAGGGGACGAAAACACCTCTATCAYTTGAATATCTTCCTTTTCCATCTTGGATAAATCCTTTTCCTTTTTGAACTGCAATAATAAATAAATAATAAAATAGGAACCAGTGAAGGGTAGAGCAAGGCATGACACACTTTAGTTCCTCAGTTATATTATTCATTACAAGAGTAGCAAAACCAATGCTGTTACATAAAATGAGTCCACCCAGAGCACAGAAGCATTAGAACATTCTTCAATCAAACATTAGACAAATGTATTTCCATGTCCTGTTACCTTCCTGAGATACAAAATTATGCAGCACATTAACCTACAGATCATGCACTGTCCCAATATGTGCCATCCTTGGAAGTACAATTTATTGAACAATTTATAAGGGTTGTTCCAAGTGAATTAAGTACAGCAGCAGTATTAATCCTGATTTTCATTGCTTTTGTCTTGGATACTCAGACCTGACTGTGTGGAATGGTAACCAAACTACAAATATTTGGGGTTGATCATGCAATTTACAGAACAAAGATAGGCTGCAAATCCACTTCAACATGAAATACCAAAGCTCTTAAAGATTTGTAGCAAAAGAAGTAGCCTTAATCCCCAGTGCTGYAAAGGAATTTTGTTGGCTTAAGTACAGCTGTAAAAACCGGAATGTTTAATGGCTGGAACATACCGTGAATGTATCATACATGGTCAAAAAACTGCCAATAAATCTTTCACAGCTTAGAAATTTAACAGACTGGAGAAAAAAAATAGTCTTTATACTTTTCAAAACTCCTCAAAAAACCCCACCACTGTGCAATGGCACAAGAATTTCACCTAGCTCTTCTAGAAACAGAAATATTCAGCAAGCAGAGTACACCATGCCCAGGACATTAATAAGTATACATAAGAATTACTGGAGAATTCATGCTGTATGTAGAAAAAAAATAGCTTCAAGGAACAAGTTTATCCTCAGAATGTACAAATGATAGAAGGGTAGCTAGAAATTACAGAGTGAAATATTTAGCAGCTTCCTTATACAGAAAGATTCTGGTCTACTGATACATGTCAACACATCTGAGTGAAAAGAACACATTTACTCAAAGCTTGTCTTCACCACACACAACCAAACACTTCACAGACCCCTCAGTCACTGCTGGTGTGAGAGAGGTTTTGCTTCCACAAAAATAACTCTCCTGTTTTCCACACCTGTATTACATTCTCAGCATTGAATCTTATTTTATTTCGGGATTTTTGGAGTGCTGTTTCCATTTCCCTGCCCACTCCCTCTTTGTGATCTTTCATCAGTGGACCATTCCCTGACAGATACAAAATTAATGAATGTCTTAAAATGCACACAGGCATATACATGACTATAAATAACAGAACAGGGTCATTTAAAGGAATTCCAGATTAGACTAAAAAAAGGAGTGTAGATTTGCAAGGCAGCAATTTGTGACAAAACTACAGTCAACATAAACACACATTTAATGTGATCTTTTAATGTACTCTGATGGCATACTAAGGGTTGTGCTGCTTTGTACAAGTTGTAGTTAATTCTGAAATGTCTGTTGTCTCTTTGACAACCTAAAACACAACAACTGATTATTCAGAAAACCAAAATAAGTGTCCTGATCTACCATGGCCTCATAGTTGAATTATTCTGCATTTGGTAAAGCTACAAATGAAGCGTTCTCATCTGGCAGTGTTCCCACAATATCTCTTCATCCCCATTAAAGATGCACTGCAGCTTTCAGTAGTCTGGGCCTGTCTTCTCTACCTAGTCATGTGCTTTCACAGATCTTAAAAGGAGCAAAATTATTATGTACAAGACTTCTACTACTTTGCCAATATACCCAGTGAATAGCTTCACAAGCTATTAGGGGGAGAAGGACAGCAGGAAAAGTAATTACATAAGACATACATTACATTTTCTAGGAAAAGTGAATTAAAAATCCCTGCCTTTTATTTCTTCCCTGCCACAATGAATCAGGTACTTTTTGTCTTTAGAACAATAAGGCAGAGAAGACATTGAAAGACAGAGAGATGAGACAATTTCTATTATGTGAAAGACTGGAACTGGAAATTAATTTTGCAGCGGTTATATTAAAAAGCTTGTATATAGCTGCTGAGTAARTCAGTGCTTATTTTGGAAGATGTATGTGAATTTGACATTCAGGCATCAGAAATGTAACTGTGTCCCCTCTAGCCGAAGATGCAATTTTACTAGAAATAGGATATACTTACGTAATAGCCTACCTACTTCTAACTTAGCTACCTACACGGCATGCAAAAACTTCTTATATGATACCATCAGATACATCTCAGAAACAGTGTGTAAGATACAATAAACTGTTATACTYTGCTAAGATTTGTGAACTACAGACCACACAGGGACCTATAATTTCTCTAAGAGATTTAATGCTTGCCTAAATGGCTGAGTAACACAGGTACAGAGACCTTCTGTCTTGGAGTCTTTGGAGGTCCTCATTRACTGGAAGTGAGCCAACATTATTCCAATTTACAAAAAAAAGCATGAAGGAAGACACTGGAAGACCTAAACTAGTCTAAACTCAGYATCTGGAGAAATTACAGAGAAAATCACACCGGCTGTTGAAAGGCATTTGAAGAATAATGCAATCATTAGGCAGAGTGAACACAGATTCACCAAAGGAAGTTCCTGTTGAACTGATCTGATGTCCTTCTAAGACAAGGTCACCTGCCTGGTGGGAAAAAAGTGGTTGCAGTTTCCTTGGATTTTAGGAAGGATTAAGAATTCYGAAAGGATTAAGGCTTCTGATACTGTCCATCCCAGCATCCTTCTGACCACGGTGTCCAACGGTGGGGTCGTGGTGTGCTGGGTGAAGACCTGCTGAAGGGCTGGGCTTGGAGGGGAGCAGTGCCTGGGGCTGTGTCTGCCTGCTGAGCAGCCACCAGCACTGCTCCTCAGGGTGTGATTCTTAACAACAGGCAGTCGCTTTTGCTCAGCCCTGAAGTGCTCGGGCAGTTGCACCAGATAAGTGTTGAAGGTACTTTTCAAAAGAAGTATCCTAAGAATCCCATCCCATCCCATCCCATCCCATCCCATCCCATCCCA